AGTTAACTGAATGAACTGTATTCTGTTAAATGTTTCCTCGTCTGTAAATCTTCTGCGTGGATTACATAAATATTAAATACTCTTATTTTGCTTTTTGTTCATGGCGTGGTGAGTGTGCAGCTTCCCATCGCTCCCTGTTTTAAATCTGACCATGAGCTCCTGCACACACACACACACACACACACACACGCACACACACACACACACACACACACACACACACACACACACACACACACACACGGTGCAGCGACAGAGACACAGACAGAAGAGAGAGTTGACAACAGCAACCTTTTGTTTGATTTCAGTAAAAACACCAACATCGACATCTCCTGCTTCTTCAACCCAGTCAACCCCTGCATCTCCTAAAAGAAATGGTAAGAGAGCACATTGAGCACAGCAAGAAAAGGAGGATGTTCACGTTTACATGTTTACAGTTTAACTTCTGTATTGCTGTTTAGTGTTTAGTTGATTCCAATCTGCAACTACCTCTGCGAGATGCCACTGAATCCTACACACTGGTCCGTTAAAGTCCCCATGAGAGCAAAAGCAGAGTGATCAAGTTCCTACTCATTTCACCCACACAGATGTAATGTCTTTATTTTAGTGATTCACTATTTATGCTTTATCATTCACTCCTACAGGATAGGTTCACTTTTTCAAGTCTGCCTATGCAATATAAAATGTAATTGGTCAATGATGAGACAATGTTAATATATTAATATTAATATCAACTTGTTTGCTTTCAGTACAAACATCAACATCCACATCTCCTGTTTCTTCAACTGCAACATCTGCTGAAAGAGATGGTAAGAGAGCACGTTTGATATCTTCTGCTGCAGAAGAGCAAGAGAAGAAGAAGAGAGAATTCCTCAACTCAGACACTTGTTGGCTGTGTTTTAAACAGATCTGGATTTATTCTTTGTTGTGTGCTTTGTGTTGCAGGTGGCTCTCAGGTCGTCATTACTGTGGGTGTCTGTGTAGCTGTACTGCTGCTGCTGCTGTTTGTGATCATTTTGATTCTTATCTACAAACGTGAGCTATTACCAGTTTGCAGATCAGGAAACACAAACACATTAATTTCCATTTTACAGATAAAAAAAGCCAAAGCAGATATACTATATAATGTTATTCTCTTCCATGTCTTTCTGTCAGGACGCTCACATTCAAAACACACAAGAACTGGAGCAGCAGCACAGCACACCAGAGAGGTCAGTGTGTAAATGTATAACTGTTATAAGATAATATTCAAGTTCAATTCAGTTCAATAACTCATTATTTAATGATGCCAGATATTTAAGTATTTTGGTTGCAAAAACAATAAAGAAGAGTGGGAGTCTTGTTACATAAACAGTTTCAGTATTAGCCAGCGATGACGATCCTGTTTGTTATTAATATTTTACTTATTGTAGTTAGATTCAGGTTTAGTTTTTCAGGTGTATTGCCACCTATATATATACCTCTATAGCTAACTGACAATCACATTTCTTCCCTATTTTCTAGAAGATACCTCAAAACAAAGCTCCTTTGTACTGTAATAATTTAACCATGTGATAAAACATGGGGATGTTTTAATTATACAATTTATCTACATATTACAATTACATTTTATGCAGTTGTACTACTCCAGCCACTTACATGACACAGAAATATAACAGCGTAAAGTTCAAATTGTTATTTTATATGCATGAGGAAATTTATTTGAAACCTGAAATCTATTGAGATTGCAGATTGCAACTCCATCGTTTCACCCCGCCCTTCCCAGTGTGAAGTACAAACTATTGAAAAACTATTATTGATTCTGCTTATCGGTCTGATTCTTTAGCAATTCCCATTATTAATTCCTGATCAATTTTCTGTGCGGAAAAAAGTCAGTTTACACAGTTTTTCAGCGTCAGCACAAATGTTATATTATCTCTGAGTCTGAACACAGTGTAGAAACAGAGTAGAGTTATAGTAGTTAACTAAATTCTTCTTTCCAGCAGCGTAGACACATGGGTTTGATGTCAGGTTCGTAATGGTCACAAAAACATGCTGGAATTGATAAAAGGAAATGATAAGCTGGAAGGTATACAATTCCGATAGATCAGACAATTTGGAAATGGTTCTCAACTGGAACCGGTTCTCAAGTCCCATCACGACTGCAAAACGTGAACGCAAATGCCCCTATCTAGAACCAGTGCCATTCAACAAGGCGACCTGCAACTCATTCTATAGGATTCCTATATTCAGGTGATTATACACTCATGAAAGAATAGCTATGTTTATTATATCTCATATCTGCCAATAGATCTTCCTAAATGTTACACACTGGACCTTTAACCTGTTTGTGATTTAACCTACAATGTTAACCACAATTTGTATCCATAGTGCTTAATGTTATGGCTGTGTATGATTTGTTCACACTGTGTTTTTCATTCTTTCCTGGAAGGATTATGTCTACGAGGAGGTACAGGTCTACGTCCAGAAGCCAGACTCAGGAAATGCAGTGACCACGATTTATGCCACTGCCAACTTTCCCACAAACCCCTCTGCCTCACTGCATTACTCTACCATCAACTTTAAAAACAGCTCTGATAAAGCTGGTGGTGAGGCAGTGATCCTCAAACCCAGCTCCTCTGCCTGTGAATACTCTACTGTGAAGAACAGCCAAAGTCCAACCTACTCTACTGTCAATGAACCATCCAGATCTCCAGAGGATCCGCTCTACTCAACAGTCAACAAACCAAAAGATTGATCGGTCCAGGCTGATGAATTATAGTAACTCTTTCATCTGGTGTCATCATCAGGTTTGATTTTATAACCAAATATCTGCACAATAATGACATTCCCATCAGCCTAGTATAGCAAAAGTAAAAGCTTTAATGAAAGGAGATGTTTTGTGATGTGATGCTTCATACTGTGTTATGGCAATCATAGATTATAAAAACAAAATAGAGTCAAGGAGACAGTTATTAAAATGTTGCCAATTGTTTAATACATGATATAATAGCCTTTTAATTTAACCTCATTAGATTTACTGTATGCAGGGTTTGATTTGATTTGTTGATGTGTTTCGTTGTTTGAAATGCTCTTCTAGTGTTGACCTTAGCCTGCCTCATGATTCTGTAAGCATGTATATACTGCCTCTGCATAAACCATCATACCCTACCAGTCAGCCTGCATTGTCTGCATTTGGGTCCTAACCTTGTTACCCTGCACACAACAGCTACACGTTTTAATTAAGAATGATACAGACCACAGTACATGTTGTAGCTCGCTAATCTTAGTCAACAAAGTCTGTCAATCTGGTTCACCAACACAAACCAAATCAGCCCACAAAAGTATATATGCTGAATTCCTTTATGGTTGCATGATTTTTAAAGTCGGCACCCACCACATTAGAAGAAGATATACTTTATTAATCCCCAATTGGAACTCTGCCAATGTGGCTTAGAGACATACAAATGTGGAGAGATGGTGGCACAGTTAGGGGCCTTGCTCAAGGGCACCTCTGCAGTGCACATGAGGTGGAACTGGCACCTCTCTAGCCACCAGTCCATACTGTGGTCTGTGCTGGACTTATACAAAGCCAAGTCCCTACAGACTGAGCTACTGCCGCCCTACTAAAGACACTAGAGTTGAGAAAGGCAGGTTTTTTGTTCAAAAGACAGGCTGCCACACTCTGCTTCTCATTTGATCACAACAGTTTATCTTCTTACTAATAGAGTTGTATAAATTACAACTATAATTATAATTACATCTATTAATCAAAATGCTCTGAATTATATTTGACATACTGACATTTAAAGTGGAGACCACTCAAGCAGTAAAAAGGGAACCTAAGCTCTACTTTGCCATACTACAATACATGTTTCCAAGCTACATTATACATCGTAAAAATAGTACCATAATATTTCAATTTACAAATACAAGTGATCAATCAAAAAAAAACTTTTAAATCCTTAAAACTAAAAGTTATAAATGCTATCTGTATACATGCTGACATTACACTGGTGCAGTTTACAAGAGTGATTGAAAGACAAACTAACAACGATCTGATAAACGTAGTGGGGAATATGGCGAGATAGATAGATTATTAGATATATTTCTCAGGAGCTGGTGAAAATCAAACAACACTAATAAATCAAAAAGCAACAGAGAGTTGAAAAATGATGCAGATTAATCCATTAGAAATACTGTCACATCTGATTTAATGTAATAACATAATTTGTACCCCATCAGCAGCAGTGTCTTATGGTTCTGTGACCTAAATAGGCTTGTGGTTCACATCCTGTTGATTTTAGCTCTTCTGAGTAATGGTGAGGATGTAATGCTCACAGAGTAGACAGTGGGAGATAAAAAAAATAAAAAAAATAGTGAGACATGTGTCAGGATACTCACACGGGGGTGTTTTATTCAATTTCCTTGCGGGAGTCATCCCAAAAGGATCAATAAAGAGAAGAAGTCTATATGTATCATCCCTGTAGTCACAGTCACTACATTTCTCTGTGAAGCCTTGTTAGATTGACTTTGACTTCACACACAAAGATATATAGGTAGAGCGGTTCCCTCGACTTTTACAGCACATTAATGAATATTTTTATAATAATAATGTATCAGATGAAACACAATGTGACAATGTGAAAAGTGCTGCTTTGAATGACGAATCTACAGACAATCATCAGGTGAATCTGCTTTACGGAGCTTTATGGTGAGTTTCAGCTCACTGTTCTTTCCCGCTCTCAGTGTCATTTTAAGCCACAGCAGGCAGCTGCTTTCAGGGAAAAAGCTCTAAAAACCCACTGTTGCACCCATTTATGGTTTGTGTTAGCAGTTTTTATAAGATACCAACCTTTCTTTCTTACATATTACATTTAGTTGGTTCTCTCTCTCTCTCTCTCTCTCTCTCTCTCTCTCTCTCTCTCTCTCTCTCTCTCTCTCTCTCACAGTCATTTACTGTGTAATGAAGTTATGTATGAAGTGGAAAGAGATACGACTAACACTTTGATTAGGAAGGAAAAAGGGGAAGGATAAAAAATTGTGGGCGTGTAGTTTTTAGGTAAGATATAAATTCAGGAAATACAGCTGTGCGAATACCAGAGACCAACCGACACGAGACCATTGAAACAACCAACGATAATCTCAGCATCCAAAACCAACACAATGAAGAGCTTTCTTCTGCTCATCCTCTCACTGATGACAGGTAAAAAGATTGCTGCTACTGGACTACTGATTTTAGAGATTACATTAGGTTCAGTCCTGCTTCTAAACCAGCTTCGACACATATAGTGGTCTAGGTTCAACCCTGTTACCTAGAAATTACGTTGGTATATTTCTATATTTATATTACTGATTATATATTTACATTGCAGTGTCAAAGTAATCACTGCCTCAATTATGTTCAGAGTAAACGTTCTTTGAAACAGTCAATTATTATTCTGTGCACTTTGGTTAAGGTTTTAGGAAAGATTGTGATTTTGTGTTGATGTTAATTAAAAAGCATAAGTCAAAAGATGCTAAAGACTTTTTTTGTATTAAAACACAGCACAATATTTACCTAAACATAACCATAAAAATGCTGTAGTCACTACGAGTGGACAGTTCTGCAAGATTTCCATTTCTATTTTGGCTGAAAACAAATGAAATCTGTTGTCAGCAAATATTTTACTGCCTTATTTAAGTCTGGTGAGACCGAGATCACTGATGTGTGTGGCAGAAACATTAAAGTAAGTAAAGCTTTATTTATTTATATAGCACTGTTTAAAACACACAGTTACAAAGTGCTTCACAAACAAACAAATAAATATAAACACACATGCGTACACATATGTATATATACATATAAATGTGTACAGGTATAAACATACCCAATCATATACATATACCTAGGGAACATATAAATACAAACACATGGAAGATAAAACAAGAGGGAAAGAATACATTTAAAAAAGAGAGACGACAGAGATAAGTTAACAAACAAGAAGGAGATCTACAAAAAGTCCCATAACGTAGGTTTTGAGGAGCCATTTCAGTCCATGGATTCAGCAAGTCTGAGTGATTGGGGAATATTATTCCACAATGTTGGGGCTAAAACAGCAAAGGCCACCTCACGTTTAGTTTTGCAGTTAGAGTGGGGAATGGATAAAAGGCCTGGATTTGAGGCAGAGGAGTGGAATGAGGAAGAAGGAGATGTGAAATGTAACTGGGGGTTAAAGCTAACAGTTAGTGCTACATAGCTAGACCACCAACAACACTACAGAGATCTCTGTTTCCATGTCACCAGATCTGAGACTTTATATCAGCATGTGCGCTACAAAAGAAGAAATGTTAAATACATTGACTGAATAACCTGTGAACAGGTTGAGGTTGACAAAAGACCTGGAAAATAATGTGTATTAAAATCTAAACCTCAGTAAAAATAAAATCCTAAATTATTGAAATAAACGGACACACCATCATGACAATTGTCTGGATCATCTAATTAAATCAAAGGTACGACAGAGAGTCTGTGATCCACTGACTAATTCAAATGCGCAGTTTACTGAAACAGTGTATGTTGCATTGATAGAGAGCTCATTCAGACGACTACAGTCTGTCTAATCCTTCCACTGTGTGAAATAATGCAAACTCCTGTCTTTGTCTGATCTACAGGTTGTGAGGCCAGTTCTATGATAACAGTATGCCAAGAAGGATGGTTTGAATTCACCTGCAATTACCCAAATACAACTGGAAAATACAGTAATATAACTGTAGTTAATCCAAGAGAAACCGTCATACAGAGTATTCAAACGGTGTGTGGGAAACCAAAGACCACGTTTCCCTGTACCATGATACAAAAAATAAAAAACTCAGGGTGGCCATCAGACAACTTCAACGTGAGGACTTTGGGGAATACAAATGTGAATATTATCAAGGACTAAACTCAACCTTTGTCACTGAGGATCTTAAACTAGTAGTTGGTAAGAGACATTCACTTTATACTTTATTTGTCAAACTCTGTTAACTAAGAAAACATAATACAAAACAGAAATCCATTATCAAACGGGCCCCAGGGATAAAGACCGGAGTATTATTACTGTGCTGCAGCCTCTCTGTCTGCACACACACACATTTGACATAATAATTGCTGGTAGAGAGTCGGTTCCAGTAGAGTTATTGGACTGCAGGGTCAGCTCAACACTGTCAACATTTTTTTGGTTTACTTTGCTAAAATTATGACTGTATGTATGTTTATTGTTACTATTACATACTGAGTCTATATATTTTTCTTCCACAGGTACGGAGATACAGGAACAAACCTAAAAACCAGACAGGAGCTGCGCTGCGATTTACGTCTCCGATTATTCCAACGAACTCCTCTACCTTAGTGCACGCCTCGACGACAGCACTGCTCCGTCGTCAACTTCCAAAACAACCCTGACAAAGCCGATATACTCATCCCCAAAACCAGCTACTCAACAGTCAGTATTGTTTGCCTTTACCTTCTCTGTTGTTTTTGTATATGCAATTGATTACTGATAAATTGTTGCTCTAAATTCTTGTGTAATGAATCATCATCACTTTTCTCCTGGCTGTGCACTTATCTTGCTGTATGACTTGTTTGTGTTGTGATGGAACAGTTTGCTTAGGCTTCCTCTCGAAACCACAGCCATATCTCAGAATTTATGCTTATCTTTGTGTTGGCCACACGACCGTCGTACACCAGCTCTACCTCGTCTGCATGCACATTTGAGTAATTTCCTCTGTCTGGGTTAGACAGAGGAAGGGCCTCATGTAAATGACATTAAACTTGCTACTAAAGGGGTAAGCTACAAATGACATCCTGTCTGACGGTATTAATATAATGAACACACTTAACTTAAAGTAGCTTGGTGAGAGAGTTAAAAGGCTTTTTTTTTTTAATTTTAGGTTAATTGCCCAGCCATAAAATAAACAAAATAAAACAGTCTCTGTTCAGAGCACTGAGAATTACATTGAAATACCAAACCAAAAGAAAATAAGGTTTTTATTGCGTATTACTCTACAGATTATTACATTATCCCATTTATTTATCCCATCCACATTTAATCCAGTTTAGTCAAAACAGCAAGACTTTTAATTGTTTGATTATGTACATTTGGGAATCTGGAGGGCCTATCAGCAGGCAAAGTGTGAAAAAAGAGGACTCAGTCATGTTTTTGTGGGCTGCCTCGGTCAAAATAAAGGGAGATACAACACTCAATTCAGATTTTTTGCCCATTTCTGACGTTTTCACTTTTCTGACGTCATTAAACTTGTGACCCACTGCAGTTTACTTCCTTGCTGTCTAGCGGAGCTCCGCCAAAAGCGAGCGAGCAAACGAGAAAGCGCCATCCACATCATCGCTCGTCATCGCTCGTCATCGTGCGCCATAATGCTGACCAATCAGGGCAGACTGGGCTTTTCAGGAGGGGGGCCTTACAGAGACAGGAGCTAAAACGTATGGTTTCAGACAGGCTGAACAGAGGAGCTCAGCTGTAGGCAGTATGAGAACAATAATGTGTTTTTTTAACATTAAAACGTCTAAACCTATTGTAGGAGAGCCACAAAATACAATTATGAACCTGAAAGGGCATAATATGACTCCTTTAAGTTGATTAAAGTCATATTTAATATATTGCTTCTAAAATATACAGCGGGTCATGATTATTGTTATTTTTTGCAAGAGCAGCGACAAATGACATCCTGTCTGATGGTATTAATACACTGAACACACTTGACTTAAAGTAGCTTGGTGAGAGTTAAAAGACAATTTTGTTTAATTTTAGGTTAATTGGTTAAAAGTCTCTTTGTTCAGAGCACTGAGAATTACATTAAAATACCAAACCAAAAGAAAAAAAGCACTTTTATTGCATATTGCTCTACAGATTATTACATCATCCCAAATAAATTAATAATTTATCAAATAATTAAATAATTTAAATAAATAAATTAAAATTAAATAGAATAAACCAGTTCAGTCAAATCAGCAACATTTAGTTTAGTGAAGTAAATAGTTTTAGTCGGTACAGGGCCCGGTACAGTTTTAAAAAGCTTAAAACTTACCTGAAATCCAATCGAATGATGCAGCGGCTCCAAATCCAAACCCTGGGACGGCTCCTCGGCTCCTTCACATACAGACAGCAGCGATCCTCTTCTGAAATCTCAATCATCTTAAAACATGAAGAAATGTTTCCAGGTCAGTGTAGATAAAAACTGAAACGTCCACCCAAAGATTGAAGCAGAGTTAAAGTATGTTCATGAATCAATACTCATCTAACAGACAAAGGAAATGTTACATAAAGGAGGAATACAATATTTAGAACACCAAGGGAAGAAATAAGGTGTTTTTATTAATTATAACTGATTGATTTAATCTCTGATTGACTGTTAAGACTTCTATAAACCTATCCCTATCTGTTTACTATATTTAAAAATACAAATATTACTCAGAGGGGATTCCTTAAGATAAAATCCTCTCAAACTGAGAGTCTGTGGTCTAATGTGCATCTATTGTAAGTAACCCTGAAACTACTTATTGTTTATGGCTGATATGTTTTATAAAGACTATACAAATGTGTATAATCTCATATTCTCCTTTAACGTAGAATAACTAACTTATATCACATATTAATATAAATATTATATCATATATTAATATAAATATTATATCACATATTAATATAAATATTATATCACATATTAATATAAATATTATATCATATAACGTTATTAGTATAAATATTATATCATATAACGTTATTAATATAAATATTATATCATATATTAATATAAATATTATATCACATATTAATATAAATATTATATCATATATTAATATAAATATTATATCACATATTAATATAAATATTATATCATATAACGTTATTAATATAAATATTATATCATATATTAATATAAATATTATATCATATATTAATATAAATATTATATCATATATTAATATAAATATTAATATAATATATTATATCATATATTAATATAAATATTATATCATATAACGTTATTAATATAAATATTATATCATATATTAATATAAATATTATATCATATATTAATATAAATATTATATCACATATTAATATAAATATTATATCATATATTAATATAATTATATCATATATTAAATAACATATTATATCATAAATTAATATAAATATTATATCATATATTAATATAAATATTATATCATATATTAATATAAATATTATATCACATATTAATATAAATATTATATCATATATTAATATAAATATTATATCACATATTAATATAAATATTATATCATATATTAATATAAATATTATATCATATATAGCAGAATATAATAAACTGTTACTTCACCACAAATATTATACAGACATTAGAAGTTAAATAATACAGCTTTGGTTATATATTTCTCTAACAGCCCGAGTATCTGGTTATTTATCTATATAATAATATAGTAATAAATAAATAACGTTACATTATAATATTATTAACGTTACATTATAATATTATTAACGTTACATTATAATATTATTAACTTACATTATAATATTAATAACGTTACATTATAATATTATTAATGTTTTAAGGATTGTGGCGATGTGAACCAACGGCCGTTAAATTACCGTTAGACTCGTTAATGTTAAATAACTTTACATAAAACATCGATGTGCTATTAAATTAATATACGACTCACTCCCTTAGAGTAATATCTGATTCATTTGTGTTTTTGTCTGTAATTTATCTGATGTTTTAATTTCCTTTCAGTTCATGAAGAGCTAACTGAACTAGCATTAAGCTAACGAGCTTCTTAAATTAACTCAAATATTAAAAAACAATTTAAAACCTTCAAATTCTTCATCAGAACTCCTCAAATAATGAACCTCCTCGATGTTTGTGTCCCCACACACGGTAAACTCGGTTCTTCGTTGTGTAACTTCATATAATATATAATAATATAATAATATAATAATATAATATATAATAATATAATATATAATAATATAACGTTAATAATATAATAAGTTAATAACTTTTACTGATAATTACTTTCACTAACTCGCCTCCATCTTGAATTCCCAACGGTCAGTCCCACTCCGCTGCGCGCGCAGCGAGCGCCCCCTGTTGGACGGCTCAGAACACGTCATATATTAATATTAATATTAACATTATTGATATTAATTAAAATCAATTTAATATTAATAATAATTAATATTATAAAAAATCATATATCAAAGAAGCAATTTTAATATTAATATTAACATTAATAATATTAATTAATATTAATAAATATTAACAATAATTAATATTAATATTATTAATGTTAATCATTAATCAATATTAATATTAATAATAATTAATATTATAATATATATCAATATCATATACCAGACAGTCATATTTTAATATTGATATTAGCATTAATAATATTAATTAATATTAATAAATATTAAAATAATTAATATTAATATTATTAATGTTAATATTAATCAATATTAATATTAATAATAATTAATATTATAATATATATATCATATATCATATATCGCTCAGAACAGTCATATTTTAATATTAATATTAATATTAATTAAAATTAATATAACAATAATTAATATTAATAATATAATATCCATATTATTATTAATTAATATTATAATATAATATCATATAAATAGTATCTGCCACTATTTTAAATTAATATTAATAAAAAAATATTAATATTAACAACAAATAGTATTACTATTATTAATATTAATAATAATTAATATTATAATATATATTTATATCATATATCATATATCGCTCAGAACACTGTCATATTTTAATATTAATATTAATATTAATGTTAATTATTATTATTATGAATTAATATTTTAACATTGCTTCTGAAATATACAGCGGGTCATGATTATTGTTGCTTTGTTACATTTCTGTTGTTTTAATATTTTAAAGTGCATTTCCCCCCCAATTATATGATATTTAAAAAAAATTGACACATTTAAAACAAGATTTTTCAACATTAAATTGACATTTCCAAGGTATAGTAGGGATAGTGTCTGCCCCTCCACTTCCGGTCAGTTGTTTACTGTTTACTGACTTTAAACACACCTACTGATTATTATGAATTTTCCAGTATTAGTGAATAGAAAAGCTTCCAATGGGGAGAAATATCGTATCCAAAGCACATAAACATTGTGATTACAGTACTTTACTTAAACAAATGACAGATTATCCTTTTTTAAATGAATGCATAATATCAAACTATAGGTACACCAGGTAGTGTATTGCATTCACTTTAAAATTAAAGATTTATATTTATTTATTATCTCATAATTTATCTGAATTAGTGACATCCAGCATTCTCTCCAGGGCCCCTGCACCTAACCCAAATCCTAAATCTATAATATATCTGCGTCCCCTGGGCCTTAAACCCCAATTACCCCAATTATTAACTGTATCTGTATAAAGGACCACAGTCACATTCCTGTGTATGTTGTTGTATTTTTACCCATTCTCATGAGGTATTGTGTTCTGGGTTTCAAACACTGAAGCAGAGATATGGGACGTATCGTATGTTGACTTATGAAATACAAAAAAAGTACATTTATTACAAAATATTTGTATATTTGTAGGATCCCATTTCATTATAAACCTTACTTTTTCACTCATAATATTGCTTATGTGCCACTGTTATAACTCACACCTGTTTGTATATGTTATATATTATGTTTTGCTAAATATAATGTATAAAATACAAATAAATGATGTGTTCTGCAGTTAATCTGTCATCATATTGTCATTTTATTTGTATTTTTTTATTGTCAAAAAGTCAAAAAACTAATAGTTTAATAAATTCTTACTTTGATTTTGAAATCCAATGGGGGCATTTTTAAAACTTCAGTCGTATCAATGTTAGAAATCGGCGTCCAAGTGGAAAAACGTTGCTCTTCTAAAAGGTTTTTGACACAGATTAATATCACTCGCTGCGCAATGCTCTGAAAATAACTTGTGTTACTGCGTGTGGTTTTCTGTTCTGACGAGTTCTTACAACTCACTGACCACATTTCCTTCCTGAGTGAAATATGAAGACGTTTGTGGTGATGTCATGTTCCTGTTGACACTGGATGGAAAGACAAACACGTCAGCTGTTACGTGATGATTTAAACTTTAGTGGCCCAACAGTTCATCAGTTGTTAGATCTTAAAAGAGAAATCC